TATTCTCAAGCAGAGGTGGAATAAAGAGATTATCTTTGGGGGGAGATGGAAAGAGAAGAGAACAGAAGGTCAGCAGTAAACAGGAATGAAAATGAGTCCCATGTGCCAAGTATCGCCTTGACTTGATCATCTGGGGTCATCAACAATCCTCAGTGGGCACCATCTCACTAGGATGCTTCTGGAACAAGCTACACATTTCAGCCAAGACAAGGAACTAGATGCAGACTCAGTGTGATATCAAGGCCTGAGGAAAACTGCCGCCACGTAGAACCAAACAGTAACAAGGCCTGGATGGATCTAGCTCTGGGAGTTGGATCATCTGGGGAAGTTCATTTGAGTCTATTCCTCAACCATGTTACAAAAGATCTTTGGACTTCACATAACTTAAGTTTTTAGGCCTGCTTTCTCTGATGCATGGGTTTTATTACAGTATTTAGATTTCCCAGGTGGCTCAGTGGTAAAGAATTCACCTGCCAATGCAGGAGACATAGGAGAGGTGGGTTTGATCCCTGGGTCAGGACGATCACATGGAGGGGGGCACGGCAACCTACTCCAGTATTCTTGCCTGGAGAATCCCTTGGACAGAGGAGCCTGGCCGGCAACAGTCCATGGGGTTGCAAAAAGTTGGACACAACTGAGCACACAGATTCTAGTAGAAGCTTTGAATTATATTACAATTTTCAATAAGATCTGGACCTTCCTTATCCCTTTGCTTATCCCCACCCTTTCTCCCTCAGCTCACTGCACTCTAGACACTCACCACATGGCCTTCTCAGGTCTATCATCTATCTTAGAGATTCTGCACTAGCTGTTTCCTCTTCCTAGAATGTTTTTAACATATACAACCAGCTCCTTCTGTTACTTAGGTCTCAACTCAGATGCGACCATTGCAAAGACCCCTTCCTTGACCACATTTTTTGAGGTTGCTTCATGGCTCCCTACTCCACCCTTCTGGTTTCTTGTCTTCATGGCATCAGCCAGCATCTGACATGATCTGGTATAGATGTCTGTATATTGTCTCTCTTCCTCCACAATAACATATGCACACAAGGAGAGCGACCCCTCTGCCTTGTTTATCATCGCAGCCCCCACAGTGTTCTAGACAGTGGATGGTGTGTATGGCAAGCTCAGTGGAAACCCCTTTATGTGGGGCTCTTTCTCTGCGGGGCCAAATAGAGTAGGGCCCTAGGAACTCTAGAGGGAGAGTACGAATAAGAAAGTTATAGGAAATTAGGGTAAGTTGGGGAAAAGAACTAGGAGATTATTCCTGTGAATACAATTGCTGGACTACATTGGAGGCAACATCTTACTAATAACGGTAATCAATCACAACAGCAACTAGCAGACATCGGGTACTGAGACTGCCAAGCACTCTTCTGAGCATGTTGCAGAGAGATGTTAGCTGATCTAATACTCACAAGGTACTGATGATACAGATATAATTATCCTTACTTTACAGATGAGGAGATAGAGGCTTAGAGAAGTTATTTAACTTGCCCAGCATCACACATGGGGTTCTCAAGGCAAGAAGATATTAAGAAGAGGTTGCAAGAATACACAAAAGAACTACACATCCTGGAATGCAACATCAAGCGGGCCTTAGGAAGCATCATTACGAACAAAGCTAGTGGAGGTGATGGAATTCCAGTTGAGCTTTTTTCAAATCCTAAAAGATGATGCTGTGAAAGTGCTGCACACTCAATATGCCAGCAAATTTGGAAAACTCAGCAGTAGCCAAAGGACTGGAAAAGGTCAGTTTTCATTCCAATCCCAAAGAAAGGTGATGCCAAAGAATGTTCAAACTATTGCACAATTGCACTCATTGCATNTGGCATCACCGACTCTATGGACATGAGTTTGAATAAGCTCTGGGAGTTGGTGATGGACAGGGAAGCCTGGTGTGCTGCAGTCCATGGGATCACAAAGAGTGAGACACAATTGAGTGACTGAACTGACTGACTGAACATCACACAGCTACATAATGAAGAAAGTGAGCTATAAATCTTGATAATCCATTTCCATTCTCATAACTAAAACTAGTACTTCAAATCAAATCATGAAGTAGCAAATACTCATTATTTTTAAAGAATGAAATAGCCATGAATATCTCAGCTAGGAGAGCAGGGTATAAATTAGTAGATAAGAGGAGGGCAAGTCACATGGTAAAGAGGGAGATCACATTTGAGATAGTCAAAAAGACAACAAACATAAAGAAGGATGAGGGGTGGTGAATAAGGAACTCTTGAGAGGGTTCAAGAGCTGAGCTCGGGGGGAAAATGTGCATCCACAGGTACATCTTTCCATACTCCAGGAATTAATACTACATTTTGCTAGGCTGGACTATGAAAGTTTGTTGGATTTGGGCAAGAACAAATATACTGAAGTTTGTTCCCACAAATTGTCACTAGGTTTAACCCTCAACCTATGCTTATACTTCAGTCCAACCAGAGGATGTATGAGAAGGAAGAAAAAGACAGACATCAAGGAAACAGATTACATTCAGCCTTCCACACAATTCAAGGGCAGAAATGGGAATCTGCCCAGTTCTGCTTTAAGAAAATGCTTTACACATTCTATAGAACACATTGAAATTGCACTTGGATTCTATGCTCTATTCCAGCAAGGTTATTTATGGTGTTTATTGAATACAGACACTATTCTCTGCCTCTCTGCACATTTATAAATACATCCATTTATACATCCATTACAGCTTATGATCTATAACTGAAAACAAGATGTGACAGTCATGCACCCACCAACAGTACCGAATCAGGTAAAGTCATTCCTGCCCACTCCTAGAGGGCTAGAGAGGTCTTGTCATTCAACACAAGTGCCCAAGATGTTAATTACACCTCAGTCCCTAGACTTTTCAATGAGACTGCCAGTTCACAGGTTATCACTGTGTACATCCATTCACTGCCCCTCCTAACAGATCAAACACAAGGATTAATGATATAATCTGTTGTAGTAAACCGTAGAAGTTCTGGAATTAATTTTAATCATCATGAAGGCGATGAGAATACTAATAATCTGTATTGCTCACCTATACAGAGACCTGTCATTTTTATGAAATATTAGAGTCCAAAAAAGTGTAAAAAGTAATGCTGAAAAAGCACCAAAGTCCACTTCCCAGTTAAAAAGATAAAATATTACTAATACAGTTGAAGACTCCACTGTATGCCTACCTGATTACAACCTGCCAGCATTAACCAGCATACTACTTATAGTTTTATCATTCCCAGGTGCTCTTTTTGTGGATGAATCTCTAAACAATGTGGAGTGCATTGTTCAAATAATATAAATGGCAGAAGACTGCACACATATTTTGCTACGTTTTTAATTCAACATTGTTTTGACATTTACTAATTTGTTCAATTTCTTTGCTACTGTGTTATCCTCTCCTGGAAAGAAACATAGTTCCCTAATTTTTGCAATTGCAGTCAGTGAAGTTATGAGCATTCCTACTGGTATACTCTTCTGTACTTGCCCAAGAATTTCTCAAGAATGTTCCTATAAGTGAAATTATGGGGTCAGAGATACACAGTGACCCTTGCCAAAGTACAAAACAATTCTCCAAAAAGCTTATAAACTGATTAAAACACATGCTCCAGCTAAAAGTATACATTTCCCCCCTGTAGCTTCATGTGTTTTTAAACATTTGGTATTGTCAGAAGTTTTGTTACCACAGTGAGTGTGAGATAGCATCTCATGTGATTTTACTTACATTTCCCAGATTATGTCTGAAACTCACCTTTCCATATGCTTATTTGTTTCTCCTGTTTCTGTAAATTATGTTTACCATTTTGTCCATTATATGTGGCTTTCTTTTTCATATAGATTTTGTTATTTATATCATCTACATATTACCTTTGCTGGTTTATACATGTTGCATATATCTTTTCCAGTCACAAGCTTATATTTTCACCTTTCTTGGAGGAAGAGTTTCTTTGATGAACAGAAGTTACTATATGCTAATACAGAATGATTTTCAATCTTTCACTTCCCTGTGTTTTTAAGGGGTTGTTTCTGTTGTTTCCCCATTCTATTTGAGGCTTGCTGTAGGCTTTTAGTACATATTTTGCAGTTGCTAAGATCGTTTTTCTCTTTTAACACAGTGAATGAATTGTATTGAAAACTTTTTTAATGTGAGATAATTAAATATTTCTCTCCTTGCATCATTTAATGTAATGAACTATATTGAAAATGAGGTGCTGGTAAAACATTCTTCAATCTCTAGGATCAAAGCAAGTGAGCTATGATTTTTTTTTAAATAATCATTTTGGGGTCATCTTCCTTATATTTCTTCTGAAAAGAATTTTTAAAAATATAAGTGATACTAGACTGTGATTTTCCATTACTAAATTGATTTTGACTAGTCTGGTAATAAGATCTATATTATCTATATTAAATGAAATTGGAAGGTATTTCCCTTTTTATTCTCTGAAATATTTTGTAAAGTTCAGTACTCTGTGTTTCCTGGATGTTCAATTGACCTCACTAAATGTCTGTGCTTGAGTAGTGAGTATCTATAGGTATGCTTAGGTGAGTATAGTATTCTAATTGAAAATTTTAATTTTTGAATTTATTTTTTATTCAGTTGTTGCAAATTATATTTTCTAGCAATATATGTATCTCATTTAAGTTTTCAAACTTTAAGAAATTCTTTTCTGTTTTAATAATTACTTGTATCTGTCCTTAAACCCCACCTTTTTAATTTCTAATAGTGAATATCTGTCTTGACTGTTTCCCCTTGATTAATGCCAATAGGGATTTGTTTACTGATTGGATCATTTTAAAGAAGTAACCTCAGCTTTTGATGATCTTCAAACTTCTTTTCTCATTTTACCTATTTTTGCTATCATCTTTAGTATTTTCCTTTTGGTTTATTCTCTTTGTTTTATTCTGAGGTTCTTAAATTCACAAGTTACATACTTCATCATTACTTTTAGTCTTTTTGTTTTTTTATCCTCACAAAAGATTTGACATAGATCAAAACACCATTTAAGCTGTACTCAACAAATTTAATCCCATATTTTAACTTCTAAAGTATGTCTTGGGATCCAATAGTTGTATTTTCTGAAACCCTTGCATGTGTAATTCTGATGTTTATTAATTTTCTGACTCCCATTCATATTATTTAGAGGTTTGGAATAAAAGATGGTGTTCAGTGGAGCTACATCTGAGAAACAAAAGAGGCTTGAGCTGGTGGTAGGTACCTCCAGGAAGAATGAGCTTTTGTTTCTACCCGATGTCACAAGATGATAAATCTTTAAAAAAACAAACAAACAAAAACCTTTGTTAATTTTTAAAATTCAGATTCTCCCAGCTCACGAAGTAATATAAATCCAACTTTTTCCTGGAATGTGTTTTATGTAAAAGGAAGATATTCAACAAAGAATAGAAAAAAACTGCTTTAAGAAACTGAAGGTGAATTTTGTTCAGTGTCTCAGGCATTGAGATGGAAAAAATCTGTCAGTCCTGAGCTTGAATTCTGATTTTCCTTCCTCCAAAATGTGACCTTGAACAAGTTTCTCACATTTGTTAGAGTGTGAGCCTTACTCTTTGTGACCAAAACTATGGGGACTATTATACATGGATAGAGTGAAGATTAAATGCACATAGTATAAACCCACTGAAAAGAATGCCTAGAAAATAATGTATGTTCAATATGTGATGTTATTAACCTTGTCTTTTCTCTTCTATTTCTGCCCTGAGCAAGATAGAATGAGAGCTCAGCAAATGAAAGGACCTCATAGTCTATTGTCTGTCTGGCCATGAGCCTAAAACCAAGGCATCTATTCAATGAACACTTATTGACTATTCCCTCCATGCTAGGCAGTGAAGAATAGGATGGCATGGTAGGAAACATTAGAGTGAGTCTAACATTTCTCTCTAGGGTTTGGGAACTTAATAGACTCAGGCTGCTAGATGGTTTGAGATAATAATGATCACTATTCTGTGGGCTTTGCATACCTTATCTTCTTTAATGCCTCTGTCAACTGCATTCAGCATTTGCCCATTTCTTGATGAGGAAATGGAAATCCCAAAGCACACATCAAACTTTCATTAAAGCCCAGGTCATTTTACTTTAAATCCTACTTCAAAGTCTTAAATAGCACCTCCTACTAAGTACAAAGTCATTATATTGTAGTATTTCTTAAGTGCCTTGGGACCAACGAGGCCAGAAAGTCATAAAAAGGTTATCCCAAACAAGACTGAGCACCATGATTTGAAGAGAGGGTGGATCTGTGAGTTGCTGGGCGAATCAAGCATTACTGTGTTGAGTGGCAGCCGTGCTGTGATTCTGCAGTTGTGGATCTTCATTTCAGCCTGATTGTTAAGTGTTCTGAGGATGTCAGAATAAACTCAGAAACTGGCAAACTGCAGCCAAGTTGACAATTCTTTCAAGCATGATAATCCAACCTACTTTGGGTGCTGACATTTCATTTAAAAAAAAAAATCATTATTTTAAGATAGCACACCAAATTTGAAAAAGTATATTTTTAACACATGCACCAGCATGACTTTTTTAATTAGTTTGCAGCCCATCTTATCATATTAGATGCTTGTATTATGAGAGTCTGATATGCTGGTGGCCCTTAACTAACTAGATGGTTTGGGGAATTTTGTGTATGTACTTAGGGGAAAACTCAGAATTCCAATAGTCAGCCATCAATCACTTACTTAAATGCTACTATGAGTAAGAACAACACACAGAAGATACATAGAGAAAAAACATATTCCCCACATCTGAGATTTCATAGTGTTGCAGAGGAAAAAGAGACACATAGATAATTACAACAATATTTTAAATGTTGAAGTAAAGGGAATGAGTCAAGATGTTTTAGAAGAGAAGAAAGGGGCATTACTGATGGGTAGAGATGAGAATTAAAGAAACTGCCTAGGTGAGATGTCTGATCTACTTGAAAGGCAAGTAGAATTTTGCTTGAGGCTGGTAAATACCCTTTGAAGAGTCACAGGCTAAGGAAATACCGTATACAGAAAATCTGGATGCAAGATAAAATGCAGAGTGTTCAGGAAACACTGAGTTGCTCAGTGTGGTGAAGCACAGGGCTTATGGAAGCGCGAGGTGAGGAGGAAGAGATGAGTTTCTTAGATAAGATGAGATGCCTCTATAAAAGTCTTTAACGTAACTCCTGCTTGAGTTTAGAAATCATCCAAAGGCTTTTCAGTAAAAACATGACATAATCATGTTTCTATTTTGAAAAGATCACTTTGGAGAAATGGGTTAGCAAATGCTGGAGGATTGTTTAGAAGCAGGAAAATCATCTGGGAGGCCTTAGAACTGTGGTGCTCAAGAAGCCTCTTGTGAGTCCCTTGGACTGCAAGGAGATCAAACCAGTCAATCCTAAGGGAAATCAACCTTGAATATTCATTGGATGGACTGATGCTGAAATTCCAATACTCTGGCCACCTGATGAGAAGAGCTGACTCATTGGAAAAGACCCTGAAGCTGGGAAAGATTGAAGACAAAGGGAGAAGAGGGTGACAGAGGATGAGATGGTTAAATAGCATCACTGACTCAATGAACATGAAATTGAGCAAACTCTGGAAGATAGTGGAGCACAGAAGAGCCTGGCGTGCTGTTGTGCATGGGTTGCAAAAAGTTGGATACGACTGAACAACAACAAAGGAAACAGGTAGTCTTCTGACAAGATGACATCCAAAGGCCAGTATGACAAGGTAGTCTTATTTACCAAGACAACAAATTGATAATTTTTTTAGAACTTTTTAAATGCAAAATGTTTTTAACTCTGAAACCTACCATACTGAAATGATCAAAGCAAGAGATATCAAGGGTGATAGCCGTGGAATCTGTAGAGGAAGAGAGATTTAAGAGTGGAATCAATAGGATCTGGTGATGAGACAAGAGTGAGACTTTGAGCATGACCTTGGAATCTCTGCTTCAAACTAGTGAGTGGATGAGTTTAAAACAAATAATACCTCATTGAAATTAAAATTAGAGTAGTTATATCCTCTCTGGGAATCAGGGGGAAAAGCGGAAAAATGGTCAAATTCACATGACTGGGAGAAAAATGGGAACAGAATGAGCAATTTAAAACCCAACTTTTCCAAAGCCTATTAAAGGTACATCGTGATAAGCACTGAGTTAATTAAGGCAAGAATTACAAAGGCACCCTGCAAGTTTCTTTAATTATGCACAAAAATTGGAGTCAGATGGTAGAAGATGCTGTGTAAGTAGAAGAATGTAAACAGGCCTTGTGATCAAAAGACATAAGTTACAGTTCCTATGATAAGCACTGAGTTAATTAAGGCAAGAATTACAAAGGCACCCTGCAAGTTTCTTTAATTATGCACAAAAATTGGAGTCAGATGGTAGAAGATGCTGTGTAAGTAGAAGAAAGTAAACAGGCCTTGTGATCAAAAGACATAAGTTACAGTTCCTGCCCCTGTTTACTCATCTTTCTGAGCTACTGCCTCTATAGCCAAGAATATGAAATAAGAATCCCCACATGGCGCTGATATGAGGATTGAATGAGATAATGGATGTGAGTACACCTGAAAACTACAAAGCCCTTGACAAATACGAAGTGTTATTATGACGGTATTATCACAATAAAAGTTAAATGCTCTTGGGAAAAAGCACCCTAGCTTCCAATTATTCTGTCAAAATATTTACTGGATACCTACATGCCAGCCTGTTGCTTGGAGCTCTGGAAAACAAATGAGGGCTCTGCTCTCACAAAGATCTCATGGAACCAGCATTCTCATGAAAGATAGTGACAAGTTACTCATGGATTCAGGATGTTTTTCACAAGAGAAAAATCCCCATTGAGAATGCAGCTAAGTAGTTCCTGGATCCAGTACTAGGCAGGGATACAATTCACCCCACCCAGTGATGTCACAATATTTATTATGTCAAAGTTGCAAGCATGCATGCTCAGTTGCTAAGTCATGTTCGGGCGACCCCATGGACTGTAGCCTACTAAGCTCCTCTGTTCATGGAATTTTGCTGGCAAGAATACTGAAGTGGGTTGCCATTTCCTTCTCCAGGGGATCTTCCCGACCCAGGGCTCAAACCTGCGTCTCTTGCATTGCAGGTGGATTCTTTACCACTGAACCACCTGGGAAGTCCATATCAAAGTTGGAATCAAGGAAAAAATGCAGGTGAAGAGGGCTGGAGGATCAATTACTGGGTATCGAAATACAGAAAGAGAAGCCAGTATCACAGTCATGAAACAGAATCCAAAATTAAGGACTAAAAGGGGCAAGTAAAGTACTAGTATATGAGGACTCAGAGGAACTGAAGCAAAGTCTGAGACATTATTTGCAGGGTCTAACTGAGGACGGGGTTTCCTGGTGGCTCTGCCATAAAGAATCCAATTGCAATGTAAGAGACACAGGTTCAATCCCTGCGTTCGGAAGATCCCCTGGAGAAGAAAATGGCAACCTGCTCCAGTATTCTTGCCTGGGAAATCCCATGGACAGAGGAGTCTGGTGGGCTATAGTTCTTGGGGCACAAGAGTTGGAAATGACATAGGGACTGGAAAACAATAACAACTGAGGGTAGCTTTAAATGGCTGTATTTATACTCAGCTACTCAAGTTGAGAAGTGACATAAATGTTACCTGTTCCCAGAGAGGCCCTTGGAAAGGATCTGGGCACAGAAACGGACTAACCCCAGCCTTGTAATCAACCCATCATAGTCTGCCTGATCAGACCTTTCTGCTAACTCTCCAGACAGATGTAAGCTGTCCTCTGGGCTGAATGTCAGTTCCTGGTGTTGAGGCATCCCCCTGTGCTGTCTAGAACAGTGCTGTCTGATAGGAATACCCTATGAGCCATGAGTAAAATTTCCAAGTTTCTAGAAGCCACATCAAAAATATTTTTTAAAAAAGAAGCTGAATTAATTTCAATAATATATATTTAACTCAGTAGAGCTAAAAATTAGTGTTCTAATATGCAATCAACATACATTTATTAATGAGATATTTAGAAACACCTTAAGAAGCCAACTGTCATGCTATAACATTGATGATATCTTAGCATGACGTAACAATGAAAGTAAATAGAGTTATGCTAATATATTTTACATAGTTTCTGTTCTAACATTTTAACCAAATTAAAAATTAAATTGCTCAGTTGTAGTAGCCATATTTCAAAGGCTCAATGACCACACATGGCTAGTGGCTACCCTTTGGACAGCACAGGTCTGGAGATTAGGAGTGTGAGAATTTCACAGCAACTTAAAGGTCATCAGATTCAGTATCTAGTTTGCATATGCTTAGGATGAGAAAAGAAGGAATCTATACCAAGTATTGTGCATTGTATTGGCCCATGTTGGGTCATTGTGCTTTAAAACAACCTTGCCTGTGTGTTCAGTTGCTCAGCTGTGTCTGACTCTCTGTGACCACATAGACTGTAGCCCCTCCAGGGTCCTCTGCCCATGGAATTTTCCAGGCAAGAATACTGGAGCAGGTTGTTATTTCCTTCTCCAGGAGATGTTCCCAACCCAGACATCGAACCTGTGTCTCTTAGTTGCCTGCACTGGCAGATGGATTCTTTACCACTGTGCCATCTTAAGGAGGATTATTATTCCCATTTTACACTGAGGAACCTGAGGCTCATTCAGATAGGAGGATTTACCCAAGACACATGGACAAGTATGAAAGAACAGGATTTAAATCCAGAATTCCTGATTATTTCTGTTACTGACAAACAGAAGGTCATCCCTCAATATCTGCACGAGAGTGGTTCGAGGATATGTGGATATCAAAATCCAATGATGCTCAAGTATTTTATATAAAATAGCATAGTGCTTGCATAAATCTATTCACATTCTCCTGTATACTTTACATCATCTCCAGATTACCTATAATACAATGTGAAAGCTATGTAAATATATGCTGGTATGAAGCAAATTCAAGTTTCACCTTTTAGAATTTTCTGAAATTTTTTCTGGTAATTTCAATCCATGGTTAATTGAATCCACAGATACAGAGCCTATGGATATAGAAGGTTAGCTGTACTTCATCATTTGATTTTTTTGGTCTTCTTTTTGTCTTAACTCGATGTCTTAACATCCCTGTGTCTTATGTCATACATCTCAACTGGTATGTCATTGATACTGGGAGCTTCACTTACTCTTTGAGAAGATGGCAAAAACCTTTCTCTTCATACTCATGCCTGTTTCCTTCAACTTCTGACTTGTCATTCAAGATATGTTATGTCTGCTCTATCTTTGGGAATAGAGTGTAGAATAGGAATCATTCTATTAACATTATAAGTAACAGCCAGCTTTCCAAGGATCTGTTCATGATGAAAATCATGCACATTCGCTGTCAGTTCTGTTTTTTCCTTGTGTATCACAATGCGAGTGCATAACCAGAAAAAGCCACTGTGATATATCTGCTCACCAAAAGAATCCTACAGCTCACAATTGCCTGAAAGGCAGGAAGCCATAATGAAGACCATGGAGATCAAGGTACTAAATGAAAACGCACATTGTCGGCCTATTGTTGTTGTTCAATCACTAACTCGTGTCCAAACTCTTTTGCGACCCCATCGAGACTGCCAGGCTCCTCTGTTCATGGGATTTCTCAGGCAAGAACATTTGAGTGGGTTAACATTTCCTCCTTCAGGGGATCTTCCCAAACCAGGGATTGAACCCGAGTCTCCTGTGTTGGCAGGCAGATTCTTTATCACTGAACCACCAGAGAAGCCCAGCTTCCTTCAAAATCAAATTGAAAGAGATTCTGATGAATCAGGCTGCAAGAACACCAGGAGTGCTTAACTTCCTTAGGGCTATGTGGGATGATAATAGAGTTGCCTGAGTCAGGCCCAGAGTCATAATCAGGGTGAGAATAAATGATGGAGGAAGGAGGAAGTGCAATAAGAGGAGTTATAAAATGTACACACATTGTCTCCCAGACACTGTATATAAGACTTACTCTCGTTATTCCATCTGTTGTTGTTTAGTCGATAAGTAATGTCCCACTCTTGCATCTGTGTGGACTGTAGCCTGCCAGGCTCCTCTGTCCACAGAATTCTCCAGGCAAGAATACTGGAGTCGGTTTCCATTTCCTTCTCCAGGGCACCTTCCCAACTCAGGGATTGAACCCACATCTCCTATACTGCAAGTAGACTCTTTACTGCTGAGCTACCAGAGCAGCCCATAAAGCAATCTATACTACAATTTAAAAAGAAAAAACAAAAACAAAACTTTATTTACGGAATGAAAAAAATAAATAAAGAAAGAAGGCCTGCCAAATGTATGTATGCCTCAAAAAATACAAATTTAATTGTTGGGAATTGTCTTTCCATCTGACATAAATATTATGTGAGGAGTAAAATACTAAAGCTATCATGGACAAATCATAAGCAGATATTCCTAAATACACGCTAACATCTTGCAAACAGGTTGACAGTACATAATCTTTAGATACTATACATGGTGTTTAGCACTTGCAGAGAAGTGAAAAATAATTTAAGCTATTTATAAAACATCATTATGAGAAGTATTTTTGGGGCAAACAGTAAAATATGTAGTAGAATAAGAACAGAACACTCATGACAGATGAAATCCCCAATTCTAGATATTATTGAAAACATTATGTTCTTCAGTCAGTCAATATTAGTCACTCAGTCATGCCCAGCTCTTTGTGACCCCATGGACTATAGCCCACCAGGCTCTTCTTGCCTGGAATTCTCCTGGCAAAGATTCTGGAGTGAGAGGCCATTCCCTTCTCCAGGGGCTCCTCCAGTCTAAGACCTTACTAAGTAGTTATAGCTAATCAGGCTAGTGTAATGATTCAATGAAGTGGGTGCTATAAAAAAGAAGATAATCCTTATATGCCATGCTGATATTATGTATTTTTATTGGTTTATTTTTTAAAATTTATTTATTTTAATTGGAGGCTAATTAATCTACAATATTGTAGATTCATACATTGACATGGGTCAGCCATGGGTGTACATGTGTTGGCTTACTTTTCCCCAGATGATAAAATAACACTGTTATTAAACTTTGTGATAGAATATTCTAGATAGAGATCTAAACATATCACTTTGTCCTCATATACTTCAACTTCAATCCAAATAACTTTGTCTTCTTCTGAGGAATGCAGGTCTAGTTAAGGCAACGGGACAGGTCCTGGTAGATGTCACCAAACTGTGACAGCCTCTTGAGTCCCTGTTTAAGCTGATGACATAAAGTTTCCCATCCTGGATTGAAGTGTAAATTACACTGGTATTGGCTAGTCCTGGGGTAAGGATGAGAAGACAGCGGTTCCTGAAACCCTTGGTTTTCAAGGACCTTTATAGCCACAGGAAGAAAGACTTTATTAGACTTGTGTAAATGGCCTCGGGAACACCTTTTATCCCCTAACATTAAAAATCATAAGAGAGCTAAGCATGAAGATTAAATCCTCTCATCTTGAGGTGAGGAGAATGCTTGTCTTCATGGTAGAGTTAAGCAATGCAGACAATCTTCCTCCCAATGCCTCAAACAGGAAACTTAAAACCTGCCACAACTCACAACTTTGGTCATGGAGGCAGGGAAAGCTGGCCACTCCAACAGCTGGATCTGAATTCTATGAAAAGGTCAAGAACAAACCGGGAAATGGGAAGAGAAAGTGGGAAACATATGCTCTGAGATAACCTAAAGATTTTTTTAATGTGGTAGATAAAACAATGTGCTCTTGGGGTATGAATAGCAAATAACCAATGAAGTGATATTATGTTGTTGTTCAGTCACATCTGACTCTTCACAACCCCAC